GGTGGGATTCAGGCTCACCTGGACATCAGCAGGTAGGGATGGGGTGGGATTCAGGCTCACCTGGACATCAGCAGGGACAGAGATGGGATTCAGGCTCACCTGGACATCAGCAGGACAGGGCTGGGGGTGTGTATCAGTGAGCAGGGCATGGAAAGATGGGAGCTGTGAGATTCCCGAGGTGCTGGATGCCCTTTGGATTGGATTGGATTCTCTCTGTGTCCAGAGGCAATTGAGGTTTTTTGGGATTTCTGACCGGTGGAGTTTTCTCTGCCATGGCTGCAAAATTTCCTGGTGGGGCTCTGCATGAAGCAGGCTGGTGGATATCCAGCCTTGTTACATGGAATTAGTATTCCATGGATTTTCTGGACCTTGGGATAGCTGAGAGGAGCTGGGAAAACCCTCCCTGCAGAGCTGCACAGCCCCTGAGTATTTGGGGTCAGCCCTTTTTTGGGGGATAACTGAGTATGTGATTTTTGAGGGGACAGCCTGGAGGTGCCTGTGCTCATGGCTTTTCTATCTGCAGCACTAAAACCAAGCTGCATCCCCCCGAATCCTCATTTTTTGGCAAATTTAGGAGTTTGGAGACAGATCCACCTGTGCAGCTGGAGCTTTTCCCCTGCCCTGAACCCAAAGATATTTTCCGTGGTGCTGGAGGGGGAGCAAGAGTGAGAAATTCCAGTTTGATGGCAGATTTTGGCCTTGGGAGATGGATGTTTCTGGGGCTCAGGGATGTCAGGACACCTGGGCTCTATCCCAGGCTTTGGAGAAAAAAACATTTTCTTCTCCCTCAGATCCCCTGGCTATGATGGAAGGAGACATCTCCCACCAGGAAAGGTGGGGATTAGTGGGAGAACAGCTCCAAAGGTCACCAGGAGGGAAAAACCTTCACAGGAAAGACAAAAAAACAGTTTTTATGGCTTTGTAATGAACCCAAAACCCAGCAGTTTGCCCGGGCTGTTCCCAATATTCCAGCTAGGAATGGAGCTTGGCCCGGGAGTGGGGACAGTGGGACAACCACAACACCTCCACCCCGAATTTCCAGCTGCTTTTTCACCTGGTACCAGCTCACCCCGATTTTTGAGGGTGGAAAAATCCCAAGGGCAGCCCCCGCTGGCCTCTGGGTCCTCTTCCCACACTCCATCTCATCCCGGGATTGGGAATGTGGTGATGGGATCCGGACCCTGCTGCCCATCCCAAGCACGGGAGGGGTCAGGTTTTCCTCATCTGACGTTTAAAACCGGGATTAGAGGAACTCAAGCTGGAGATGGGAGCTGTGGAGAGCAGGTGGGAAAAGGGGGATGGGGCTCCGGGTGCCGCTGGAACAGAAAATGGGGATGTGGCACCATCCAGTGACCAAACTAGAAAATTTTCCCTTTTTTTTGAGGTTTTTGCGATATCCCCGTTGCCTTGGGAATCGGGGGTGGATCCACAGGAATTCGGGTTTAACTCTTCTCCTGCTGGGCACGTTTAGCTGAGCTGGGTTTAGCCCACAGCAAGGACATTAAAACTGGGTTTGAATGCCTTCCATTCCGGCGGGGAAGGTGGGATGACTTCAGCACGGAGTCACCCAGGGCTGGGCAGGCTGTGGAGCTTTTTATGGGATCCCTGCCAGGCCCCAGCGTGCCGGGTTTGGGGCTTTCCTGGTTTATTCCCAATGCAAATCCATGAGTCCTCCCGGTGATCCCTGAGCTCTTCCCGGGTGGATGTGGATTCTTTCCATCTGCACCCACCCGGGGTGGTCCCGGTGTGCTGCAGGGTGGGGTGGGCTGAGCCTGGGGACACAAACCGAGCCAGGGGACACAAATGGAGCCAGGGGACACGAACTGAGCCTGGGGACACGAATGGAGCCAGGGGACACGAATGGAGCCAGGGGACACGAACTGAGCCAGGGGACACGGCCTGAGTCAGGGGACACGAACTGAGCCGGGGGACACCAACTGAGCCAGGGGACACGAACTGAGCCAGGGGACACGGACTGAGCCAGGGGACACGAACTGAGCCAGGGGACACGAACTGAGCCAGGGGACACGAACTGAGCCGGGGGACACGAACTGAGCCAGGGGACACGGACTGAGCCAGGGGACATGAACTGAACCAGGGGACACGGACTGAGCCAGGGGACAGGAGCTGAGCCGGGGACACGAACTGAGCCAGGGGACACGAACTGAGCCAGGGGACACGAACTGAGCCAGGGGACACGGACTGAGCCAGGGGACAGGAGCTGAGCCGGGGACACGAACTGAGCCAGGGGACAGGAGCTGAGCCAGGGGACACGAGCTGAGCCAGGGGACACGGCCTGAGTCAGGGGACACGAATGGAGCCAGGGGACACGGCCTGAGCCAGGGGACATGAACTGAGCCAGGGGACACGAACTGAGCCAGGGGACACGGCCTGAGTCAGGGGACACGAATGGAGCCGGGGACACAAACTGAGCCAGGGGACAGGAGCTGAGCCGGGGGACACGAACTGAGCCAGGGGACACGAACTGAGCCAGGGGACACGAACTGAGCCAGGGGACAGGAACTGAGCCAGGGGACAGGAGCTGAGCCGGGGGACAGGAGCTGAGCCGGGGGACACAAATGGAGCCAGGGGACACGGCCTGAGCCAGGGGACAGGAACTGAGCCTGGGGACACGAACTGGGCCAGGGGACACGAACTGAGCCAGGGGACACGAATGGAGCCAGGGGACACGAACTGAGCCGGGGGACACGAACTGAGCCTGGGGACACGAACTGAGCCGGGGGACACGAACTGAGCCTGGGGACAGGAACTGAGCCGGGGGACACGAACTGAGCCTGGGGACACGAACTGAGCCTGGGGACACGAACTGAGCCGGGGGACACGAACTGAGCCGGGGGACACGAACTGAGCCGGGGGACATGAGCTGAACCGGGGGACACGAACTGAGCCAGGGGACACGAATGGAGCCAGGGGACACGAACTGAACCAGGGGACACGAACTGAGCCAGGGGACACGAATGGAGCCAGGGGACACGAACTGAACCGGGGGACACGAACTGAGCCAGGGGACACGAATGGAGCCAGGGGACACGAACTGAACCAGGGGACACCGTTTCCCTTCGCAGAGGGCAGCATCCAGGACGTGACCCTCGGCAGCTCCTACAGCTACTACATGATCCAGGGGCTGGAGCCGGGCGTGGAGCACACGGTGACCATCAACCCCATCTTTGGGGACATCGAGGGACCGGTGGTGACTGGCAAAGCCACCACGGGTGAGTGTCCTGCAGCAGGGGTGGCATTCAGGGGGTGCTGGCACAGAGTTGGTGTCGCTTCTGTCACTTCTCTGCGTCGTTGGGTTTGGGGACGTCTTTGAAGCTGTCGGAACCTTGGTGGAACCGGGCAACTCTTCCCTCCTGCAGTGGCATCCAGCACTGTCCAGACGCTGAACGTGAGCGAGATTTCCATCAACAGCCTCCTGCTGTCCTGGGATTCAGTCATGGGAGCCACCGGATACAGGGTGGCCTGGGGTCCGACACCAGGTGAGATCCGTCTCTGCTCTCCCTGGAATGGGAGAACCTCGGGAGTGGTGGGAGCGGGGCAGGTCCAGCTCATGAACTGCTCCAAGCAGCCTCTCCCACAATTCCAGAGCATGAACTGAAACTAGGGATTATTCCTGGCCCTGAGGTACCAACCTGGCCCCAGCCCTACACAGAATGAGTTCCCAAGAAGGAGACAGGGAACATTTCCAGATTCCTGTGGTCCCTGGATATGAGATGGTTTGGATTCAATTCCTCTCAACTGGTTTGGATCATTTAGGGATTAAAATTGCAGAATAAATAACCACAGGAAAACTCTCCCTTGCCCTGGTGAACACATGGAATCCCAGCATCACTGAGGCTGGAAAACACCTCCAGGTCCAACCTCTGCCACATCCCCACCTTGTGATGGAAGTGCCACATCATTTGTTCCTTGGCCACCTTCAGGGATGGGGACTCCAAACCTCCCTGGGCAGCCCCTTCCAATGCCTGACCACCCTTTCCATGAGGAAATTCCTCCTGAATTGTAACCTCCAGCAGAGGGAATGCAGTGGATTTCCCGGGATGCAACAGAGCTGCTCTCCAGACTCTTTCTCCTCTTGTGTTTTATTTCCTCTTCCAAAGAATTCTTTGGCAAGGACCGTCCCCGTCACCTGTCCCTCAGCAAGTCGGTGACGTCCCACCAGCTCCGCAGCCTGGCCCCTGACACGGAGTACGTGATCTCTCTGTCCGTGCTCTTCGGCTCCGGGGAGGGCCCCGGGGTCACCACCTCGGCCAGGACAGGTGAGTGCTGGTGGGGTGGTGGAGTAGCTACTACAGAACGTAACCTCTGTGTATCTGGTTCGACCTTGTGTATCCCTGACTGGGGCTGGCTCTGGGCTTGGGAAGAGCTTCAGATTCATAAGGTCCCAGATTGGTTGAGGTTTGGAAGGGTTGGAAAGTCTGGAAGGGTTGGAAAGTCTGGAAGGGTTGGAAAGTCTGGAAGGGTTGGAAGTTTTGGAAGGGTTGGAAGGTTTGGAAGGGTTGGAAGGTTTGGAAGGGTTGGAAGGTTTGGAAGGATTGGAAGTGTTTGAAGTGTTGGAAGAGTTGGAAGGTTTGGAAGGGTTGGAAGAGTTTGAAGGGTTGGAAAGTTTGGAAGGTTTGGAAGGGTTGGAAGAGTTTGAAAGGTTGGAAGTTTTGGAAGGGTTGGAAGGTTTGGAAGGGTTGGAAAGTCTGGAAGAGTTGGAAAGTTTGGAAGGGTTGGAAGAGTTGGAAGAGTTTGAAGGGTTGGAAAGTTTGGAAGAGTTGGAAGAGTTAGAAGGTTTGGAAGGGTTGGAAGAGTTGGAAGGGTTGGAAAGTCTGGAAGAGTTGGAAAGTTTGGAAGGGTTGGAAGAGTTGGAAGGTTTGGAAGGGTTGGAAGAGTTGGAAGGGTTGGAAAGTCTGGAAGAGTTGGAAAGGTTGGAAGGGTTGGAAGAGTTGGAAGGTTTGGAAGGGTTGGAAGTTTTGGAAGGGTAGGAAAGTCTGGAAGAGTTGGAAAGTTTGGAAGAGTTGGAAGGTTTGGAAGGGTTGGAAAGTTTGGAAGAGTTGGAAAGTCTGGAAGAGTTGGAAGGTTTGGAAGGGTTGAAAGAGTTGGAAGGGTTGGAAAGTTTGGAAGAGTTGGAAAGTTTGGAAGAGTTGGAAGGTTTGGAAGGGTTGGACGAGTTAGAAGGTTTAGAAGGGTTAGAAGGGTTGGAAGGGTTGGAAGGGTTGGAAGGATTAGAAGGGTTGGAAGGGTTAGAAGGGTTGGAAGGGTTAGAAGCCCATCTTGTCCCAACTCTCTCAAACTTCTGGGCTGCTGCTCTGCGAGCAGGTCAAAGCCAGTACTGCTGGTCCAAAAGCAGAGGTGAGATTCTTGGGAAAGGTTCCAAAGTGGCAGCAGGTGACTGGAAACCCTGGGACACCACATGGAGAAAATGGTCTGACCCTTGTGAGGAAGAGAACGGGGAATATTCCTCAGCCGTGAGAGCTCTGGGTGGGTGTCTCACCTGAGGAACAGGGATATGGATCTCCTGACTCCATGGGTCCCTGAGCTGCCTGGCCTGGCCTCCCTCTCTGGGATCTAGGGCAGAGCGTGCTCCTTGATGACCTCAAGGAGTGGTGTCTCTCCAGGTGAGGATGAGGAAACACCAAGGATAAACAGACACCATTTTTAACCCTTTGATATAATTTTGACTCATTAACGTGTGCGTGATGAGCCGTTGGACGGGAATCGGGACACTCCTGATGTTGTCCTCATCACCCTGGCCTGTCCTGGCCTTGCTCCCACTGGATCTAGGGCAGAACGTGCTCCTTGATGACCTCAAGGAGTGGTGTCTCTCCAGGTGAGGATGAGGAAACACCAAAGATCAACAAAAACACCATTTTTAACCCTTCAGTATAATTTTGACTCATTAACGTGTCAATGAGGAGCCTTTGGGCAGGAATCAGGACACTCCTGATGTTGTCCCCATCACCCTGGCCTGTCCTGGCCTTGCTCCCACAGGATCTAGGACAGAACGTGCTCCTTGATGACCTCAAGGAGTGGTGTCCCCCTAGGTGAGGATGAGGAGACACCAAGGATCAACAGACACCATTTTTAACCCTTTGATATAATTTTGACTCATTAACGTGTCCGTGATGAGCCGTTGGACTGGAATCGGGACACTCCTGATGTTGTCCTCATCACCCTGGCCTGTCCTGGCCTTGCTCCCACTGGATCTAGGGCAGAACGTGCTCCTTGATGACCTCAAGGAGTGGTGTCTCTCCAGGTGAGGATGAGGAGACACCAAGGATCAACAAAAACACCATTTTTAACCCTTTGATATAATTTTGACTCATTAACGTGTCCGTGATGAGCCTTTGGGCAGGAATCAGGACACTCCTGATGTTCTCCCTGTCCTGCAGCTCCTCTGGGATCCGTCTCCAACTTCAAGGTGACGTCCCACACCAGCACCAGCCTGTCCTTGGCCTGGAGTGCCACAGCCGCCGCCACCAAATTCAAACTCACCTGGAGCCCCGTGGCAGCAGGCAAAGGTGAGCGGGGGAAAGGACATTCCAGGCACCTTCCCAAATTCCTGACCCGCTCCTTGGGGTCGGAAGGAGATCCCACGGCTGGGAAACTTGGTCCTGTTGGAGGTCCTTCCTCCTCTTTGTTTTCATGGTTTTGTTTATGGAGATAATCCCCGGAGCTCTGGGCAACGCAGCGATTCCCTTTTGAGGAAAGGAAGTGAGCTCCAGGCTCTGAAATATCCCGTTTTTTCCAGGAAAACAGGTTGCCAGGACTCGGTACCTGGGCAGCAGAGCGTTGGCTCATCGGATTGACCACCTGGTGCCCAACACCCTGTACAGGGTCGGTGTCCGGGCTCTGTTCAGCAGGACCGAGGGGCCGGAGGTGACCCTGACTCACCACACAGGTAATTCCTGCTGGAAAATCCCTCCTTGGCTTGGGATGCAAAGCTGGGATGGATCTCAGGCGTGGGTGGTCGGAGCCCGGTGATAAAAACACCGCGGTCTTGGGTTCAAGCCTCGTGTTCATCCCTTTAAGAGCTGGACTCCGCGATCCTGGTGGATCCAACTCGGGATATCCTGTGGATGGTGGAGGCACGAGCAGCCCTCACGGCTTGGTGGCAATAATCCATGGCTGTTCCCGTGGGAGGGAGTGGACACGGCACACTGGACAATCCTGGATTTATCAGCACAATTCCCGGAGTTCTTTATCCACAGCCACCACAGGAATGCAGGAACCTCTCTGTGGGCACCACCCAGGGTCACTCGCCAGCCTGCACTCCTGAGGTTTTGGGAATTCCTTGGATGGTGGCTCTCCCTCTTCCAACACGGAGTTCTGGCTCCTTTCAGTGTCTTTTTTGCCTGAATCCATCTCAATGAGTTTTTCATTGAATTTGAGGATGTGTCTGGGTGATCCATCCTCTCCTGGAGTTCTGTTCATGTCACGCTGTGTGTCACCAGCTTGGTGGTGAGGGATGTGGATAATGTTCCTCAGCTTGGATTCCACGGATCCATTAGGAATTTTAGCCTGGCATCCTGGATAATGTTTGGGAAGTAGATATTGAATGAATGCCCGTATTTTTCTCCTCCACCACAGCCTGGAGCCATGGTGCTGCTCTGGGACTGAGCTGAAATCTTATCCCGGTTCGTTTTTCCAGCTCCTTCTGGAGATTCCAACCCCATCCCGACCATCCAAGACCTCAGGGTTACCGACACTGGTGTCAACACTTTGAAGCTGGCTTGGAAAAGTCTTCCTGGGATAAGTCACTACAAGATATCCTGGGAGCCATCCAATAGTAAGAATCCAAATCCTTGGTCAGGGAGCACAAGGAACCCCCAAAAACGGGGAGTTTGGCTCAGGAAATTCCTTTTCCCATGGGCGATCAGGGTTGTTGGAGACTTTATTGTCTACAGGGACAGGTTGAGCTCCTCTAAATGAGTCCTGAGCTAAGCTTTAGGCTCTAACCACAGATAGTTAGGATATAGTTGGGATTTGGGAATTCCAAGAATTGGTTCCTTTCCGTATTTGTGACCAGATCTCTCCGCTGCCTGTGCCTCAGTTTCCCCATGGGCAAACTCTCCTCCCTGGCCAGGTCCTGTCAGACGTGTGTGAAGATGCTGTAGCAATGACTGTTACCCTTCCCTTTCCGTGGGCACCAGGGATTTTTTGGGATGTCTCCTCTCAGGTGACTCGGAATCCTCCCGGCTGCTCCCGGCAGAGGCCGTTTCCTTCGCGATTCCCAACCTGAAGGACAGCACCACCTACACCATCTCCGTGTCCGCAGTGGGAAAAGGGCAGGAGGGAAACCCCACGGTCCTCACGGCCAGAACCTGTGAGTGTGGGATTCATGGATTGGGATAAGAGCATCTCCATAGGGGAGCGAAAGAAAAAGAGCAGTTTTGGCTGGTGGATGCATTATTCCTGGAATCCACAATATTTTGGGTTGGAAGGGATCTTGAAGATCATCCACTTCCAACACCTTCCGTAGACCAGGTTGCTCCAAGCCCTGTCCAACCCAGCCTTGTTTCTTCTCAGATCCCACCAAAAAACCAGACATTGATCCTTTCTTCTTATTACTGAGGAATGTTGGGATTTCCCTCTCTTCCCCTGCCAATAATTCCCATTTTTGTGGCACATTATCTTGGAATTCCCTCTCTATGCAATATCTTGACCTTTTTCCAGCAGGTAAAGGCCAACATCCCTCATGAGTTGTGCCAAACCAGGCAGGTCTGAGATCAAACCAAGCAGAAAATCAGGGATGTGGAGCCAACACTGGGATTTTGGGGAGCATCTGGGGAAAAAAAAAAAAAAAAAAAAAACAATAAAAACTTAATTACAAGTTTTACAAGTTACAAAAAATTACAAGTTTCAGTCAGTTTAGAAGATCTTGACAAAATTTCCACCAGCTCCCACCAAATGAGAACCTGGTCTGATTCAGCTTCTTGGAAAACGCCCGAAGTGCTGGAGGAACTCCTTCGTCTCACCAGAATCACGGAATTTGGGAGGCGGAAACGTCCCCAGAGCCCTTTCCAACCCCTGAGCTTCATCCCTTGCTTTTCCAACAGCGGAGCTGCCCAAAGTGACGGAATTCAGCGTGCAGGAGGCCGCGGATTCCAGCCTTTTGTTATCCTGGGATGCTGTTCCTGGAGCATCCCAGTATTTACTGACGTGGGGGTTGTCCTCAGGTAACGTTTGGCGCGGGATGGAAACCCTGATCCATCTCCTGGGTTCCTCTGGGTTCTTTAGCAGGAGAATCCCGAGGGTTTCCATGGGTTCCTTCATCCCAGCTTCTCCATTTGGTGGAAAAGAGGGGGAAATGGGAGCTGGAGGAGGCTCACAAAGGTCACATTTGGCCTATTGCAGAATCCATGGGGGAAGGAAAAAAAGGAGGGGTGGGAATAGCTCAGGAAAAAGGAAATTTGGCATTTTATCCCTTCCTGTCCATCAAATCCACCCCCCAAAAAAAAAGGTGGATTTTTGTAATCCATAAAACCTCATTTTTATCTGTTTCAAATCTCTGCTCTACTGCAAAGGGCTTGTAAAAATTCCTTAATCATTCCTCACCATTCCTTTTCCCAACTGATTTGGTTTTTCCAGGATTTGCCCTTTTAAAACACCAACTCCATGATTTTTTTCCTGGATTGGACTAAAATCCTCTTTGAATTTGGAGTTTCCTGTCCCTGTGGCTTCAACCACAAACTTTTTTCTAGGGTCAGTTCATGTCCAAAGTCAAAGAAACCAAATCCAACAGAATTCCCTGTGTTCCCTGCAGTGCTTTTGGAACTACCAGGAACTTTATTTTTTTTTTTTATTTTTTCATTCCAAGGATATTTCAGGGTTGGCAGCTCCGTACTTGCAGGTTGTGTCACTCAGGATGAGTGACACAGCATTTTTTTTTGGGGATAAATATTATGGAAAAGCAATTTGGGAATGGAACCTTTGGATCTCTGGGGTGATTTTAGTGATCTAAAGCGACTGCTGCCCTTCCTGTGCTGTGCTGTTCAAATATTGATCCGGAAGGACTCAGAAATCCCTGATTTCAGCGTTCTCTGGGAATCAGGAATGGAAAATCCCAGGTCTGACAGTCCCTCCATATATTGATCCAGCTGGAATGGGTTCGTAAATATTGATTTCCCTCCCTCCATCGATCCAGCTGGAATGGGTTCATAAATCTTGATTTCCCATCACCAGCAGGAGAATCCTGACCCCACTTCTCCATAGAAGAAAATTTATGTTCCTGAGTGAGTAATTCCAATTTTTCCTGGTTAATTATCCCAACTGCCAACATTGGTGTATAGAAGCAATTAAAAATGTGGTCCTTATTTTTTGTCTTGATTAATTTTCCCTTCACACAACTTGTTTTTTTCCCCTAAATGAACGTTATTTTATTACACATTTTCCTTGCTCATTTAATGCCCTTTTCCCTGCTGATTCCATCCAGCCTGTCCTATTAAAAAAAAATTGGATCCCTTTCTATTCCACTTGAGATCATTCCACCTGTGGATCAGAGAAAATGAACCAATTTTGGCTATTTTGACTCAGGGAGGGAAGCACAAGACTTTAAGTCAAATTTCAAGAGGGATTTTATTATTTTATTGTTTTATTTAAAGGAGGAAAACCTCCCTTCCAAATATTTTTGTGGAAAGTTAAGAACAGCAAACTGGATTTGCTCTTTGGAGATCTTTTCCAACATGAGTTCATGATAGTGGAGCAGATTATTTCTTGCCACACAAACTGAGTTTTTTGGGTGATTTTTTGAAAGTAAAATGTTATTTCAGGATAAAAAAAAAGGTACAAATTTCACTTTGAACAATTCATCATTTATTATTTCTGAAGTAAAGCACTTAGGAAATGTCAATCATTATTATGACATTTTTTTCCCTATCATTATTTTAAATCAAAACTACGAATTGTGTGCGACCAAATTTCTCAGTCAAGTCTGATTTTATTTTTCATCAAACTTTCCATTCATTCCTGGAAAATAATCTTATTTTTAATCCATCATAACCACTGGATAGAAATTGATCTCTCACCCTTGAGCACCACTTGCACCAAATTCCCTAAATTTTTGCATAAATTCCAAATTTTCAATGCACAAAACCGACCTAATTTCATCTGCTTTAGGGACCTGACCATTACAATTTGGAAATTATTTGCTTTTGCCTCTTCCCTAGATTTCCTCTGGGGAATCATCCCCAAATTCCTGTTTGCCAACAGTGATGCCACCAAAATGGGAACGACTCCGTGTTTTTGTGGCTCCCGGTCACGTTCCTGCTGTTTTCCGCAGCTCCCACTCTTTTCCGGGAATTGTTACCAGCAGCTTCCCAATCCTATCGAGCGGCAGGGCTGAGCTCCAGGGAAATGTATTTGTTTTCCATAAAACCAATGTTTGGAGACTCAGAGGGACTGGAGACAACGCTCCTTGGACAAGCAGGTATGAAGGATGGAGACCTGGATTTTCCAGGGAAAACTGATCTTGAGGCTGATTTTTGGGGTTTCCACCCTTTTTCTCCTTGCTGGAGAGGCTAAAAGAGGTTTAAAATTCACCTTTTCTGCTTGGGTCCTACAGCAGGAGCTCCCAGGGAGACGCCAACTGCTCCAGTGGCTCCTGCACCGTTGGATAGGAGGGGATCTCCATCTGGAGCTGCCGGCAGTGTGGGGACCACTCGTCTCCCAGTGCCCACCAGTACGAAGCTCCCAGAGCCCCCAGTATGGACCAGCACGGTGTCGGCACCGCTGACAACCCTGCCTGGGCCAAGTGAGTGGGGGGATGATGATGGTGATGGTGGTGATGGTGATGGTGATGGTGATGATGGTGATGGTGATGATGGTGATGGTGATGATGGTGATGATGGTGATGGTGGTGATGATGATGGTGATGGTGGTGATGATGATGGTGATGGTGATGATGGTGATGGTGATGATGATGGTGATGGTGATGATGGTGATGGTGATGGTGATGATGATGATGATGGTGATGATGATGGTGATGGTGATGATGGTGATGGTGATGGTGATGATGGTGGTGGTGATGATGATGGTGATGATGGTGATGGTGATGGTGATGATGGTGGTGGTGATGATGATGGTGATGGTGATGATGGTGATGGTGATGATGGTGATGGTGATGATGGTGATGGTGGTGATGGTGATGGTGATGATGGTGATGATGATGATGGTGTAGAAATAGTCAAAGCTTCCAGAGGCCAAGATCTTCTCTGATCCCAGGAGCTAAAACCATTCTCAATTCCCTGAATAACAGGAATGGAAAAAGTCAGGGAAGGCCCAAACCCCATAAATGCGGTGAAGGCCTCAGCGCTACCCTGAGGGGTGAAGGTGTTGCTGCTCACCCAAAAATTGGCATCACAAGAGGCCTGGGGTTTGTTGTGCTGCTCTGAACACACAAAATCCCGGGATTCTGCTTTAGGACCCCTCAGCTTACGGAATTCTCTCTTCCCTCTGCAGTTTGTGGGAAGCTCAAGGCAGACGTTGGGTTCCTGGTGGATGAATCCTCGAGTATCGGCCAGAGCAACTTCAATAAAGTGAAGGATTTCCTCTTCCGGATCGTTTCCTATTTCCCCAAGATTGGGCCTGAAGGGACACAGGCAAGATTTTCTCTTTCCATTTCCTGAAATTATTTTCCTTCCTTTTTCTCCTTCTGCTCAGCCCTGCCTGGAGCAGAGTCTGCTCACCCAGGAGTTGTGGAGCAGAAAGGCCAGGGAAAGACCTGTGTGGGGCAAAAAGACAGGGATTAAAATCTCCTCAATGTCAGCTTTTCCATTTGGATAGATTTCCATTTTTGGTTATTTCTCAGAGACTGAATCATTGGGAAAAAAGCAAATTGCACACCTGGAATGCTGTCTAGGTTAGCCCAGAGATCTGCTGGGTGCACATTCCCCTCTCAGATCCCATTTCTGACACCATCCAGAGTGGGAATTATTGGAAATTTAGACTGGGAATGGTTGGGAAATCCAGAGTGGGGAATGGTTGGGAAATCCAGAGTGGGGAATTGTTGGGAAATCCAGAGTGGGAATTTTTGGGAAATCCAGAGTGGGGATGGTTGGGAATCCAGAGTGAGGAGGAATCCAGAGTGGGGAATTGTTGGGAAAGCCAGAGTGGGGAATTGTTGGGAGATCCAGAGTGGGAATTTTTGGGAAATCCAGAGTGGGGATGGTTGGGAATCCAGAGTGAGGAGGAATCCAGAGTGGGGATGGTTGGGAATCCAGGGTGGGGAATGGTTGGGAAGTCCAGGGTGGGGAATTGTTGGGAAATCCAGGGTGGGGAATTGTTGGGAAGTCCAGAGTGGGGATGGTTGGGAATCCAGAGTGGGGAATGGTTGGGAATCCAGAGAGACAACAGTTAGAAATCCAGGATGGGGAATTGGGAAGTCCAAGGTGGGGAATTGTTGGGAAACCAGAGTGAGGACTGTTGGGAATCCAGAGTGGGGATGGCTGGGAATCCAGGGTGAGGACTGTTGGGAATCCAGAGTGGGGATGGTTGGGAATCCGGGTGTGGATCCAAGTGGGAATTGCAGGATGTCCCAGCAGCTCCCCCGTCCAACACAGAGCCAAAGGCCCGGACGATGATGGGAATCCCCTGCAGGGCAAACGAAGCCTGAAGGATTTAATGACAGCAAAGCCAACGGGAAGACTCAGTTCCTCATTTATTCGGGGTCATTTATTTAATTTAAATTAGGAAGGGAGAGTTACAGAGCTTGGTTTAAGTTGAGGAGGAAATGGGAATTTCTTGGACTCTGCTTGGAGGTTTTAGGTGAATGATGCCGTTACCCTGGCTCAACAAATACCTCTAGGAACATAAAAAAATTTGATTTAGGTGAGGATCTGACTCCCTTTTCCCAGAGAATTCAACCTCTTCCCATTCCCTGCTTGGACTCGAGGCAGTTTGTCCCAGTTCCTGTGGATGCGGCGATTTTATTCCCGTTTTTGGCAGGTTGCTGTCGCTCAGTACAGCGAGGAGCCCAGGGCAGCTTTTCACTTCGACCAACACCGCGACCGCAACGGAGCCCTGGGAGCCATCAAAGGGCTGAGCTACACCGGGGGCAACACCCAAACAGGTCTGGGAAGGGACTTGGACACCCGCGATGGTCCTTGTGGCCCTGCACAGAGCCTGGAAGCCAAGGAAAACGTTCCTCTGAGTGATTTGGAGCCGTTTCCTTGGCGGGAACGTTGTGCTCGAAATGGTTTTGAATTTGATTTTCAGGAATGGTTTTTCCAACCACTTGGTGCTTTCTCCATGTCCTGGTTTTCCTCCCGGGTTTGCCTCATTATTTTATGATTTTTGCCTGCACTTGAGGGAGGTTTTTACACCATAAACATGAGGATGGCTGATTTGAAGCATTCTTGCATCCCTGAAATCCAGATATTTTGTCTCATTTAAAGAGCTCAGAGTGGGACAACACTTTCCATGTGCTCATTCCCAGTTGGACGCTGGGAATGCCTGGTTCCCTGGAGGAACACAACCAGGAATGGTAACTTAAAGATGATTAATTTTAATTTAATCGTTTAGCCCAGTTGGTAGGAACCTGGTGCAAAGAACGCCAAGATTTGATCCCCCTATGGACCATTCAGGGATTGGACTCGATGATCCTTGTGGATCCTTTCCAATTTGGAATATTCTGTGGTTTTGTGATTTTTCAATGAATTCTTCACATTTGAGGCACCCACATCCCTCATCCTGCCTCAATAGTATTGGACAAGAGCATAAAAATCCAGGAAAAGTCAAAATACAGGAATTTTCATGGGATTGCTTAGGGAAAGAAGGCATGGAATTGGTCAGGCTGGAAATTCCTGGCTAACCTTGCCTCTAATCCTTCTTTTTATGGAGTTTGTGTCAATAAAGACATTTTACTCCATGTAGGAATCTTTCCACGGTGTTTTGGAGCTTCTTGACCATTTCACATGCTGGAGTTTTCTTTGTGAAACTTTCTTGGCCTTTCCACAGACATTTGGAGATGGGAATTCTGTGGATTTTATTCCAGACGTGTAAGAAAAGTGCTTCAATTTTCTGAATATTTTGGTTCCCCTTTTCCAAAACTACCTGCTGATACCACCAGAACCATTCCAGCCAAGCTGATTTCCGGCTGTTGTCCTCCAAAAGACATTGTCCCATACCCAGGGCTTTCCACTTTTGAGGAATTCCCTTCATCCTCCACCCATGGAAGGAGACCCAGAGTCCAAACCTGTGGAATTAATCCAACCTCCCACCCTGTCTCTTCTCCTTGTCTGCTCAGGCCGTGCCATATCCTACGTGCTGAAGGAATTATTCCAGCCCTCCAGAGGGATGAGACCGGGTTTTCCTCACATCCTGGTGCTCGTGACCGATGGACAATCCCAGGATGACGTGGTGTCCCCAGCCAGAGCAGCCCATGCTTTGGGTAGGAGTTCCCAGTTGTGTTTCCCTCAGTTCTCCATGAATTTCTTTTGGTTCTCCATGAATTTCCAAGGGTTTGAGGTTGCCCAGTTGGGTCTCCCTTGGTTCTCCATGAATTTCCAGAGGGTTGAGTTTGCCCAGTTGCGTTTCCCTCAGTTCTCCATGAATTTCCAGGAGTTTGAGGTTGTCCAGTTGGGTTTCCCTCAGTTCTCCATGAATTTCCAGGACTTTGTGATTGCCCAGCTGGGTCTCCCTTGGTTCTCCAAGAATTTCCAGAGGGTTGAGGTTGCCCAGTTGGGTTTCCC